ATGAAATTTTGCAATAATCTTACGCCACCCTTGCACAAAACGACCATAATTTTTCTAATTTCATAGACAACAGAAGACTGTATTTTTTCTACATAACCCCCCCTGAATTTAAAGCTGGATCCGCCCCTGGGACACCCAGTATATCATAAAAAGAACTCATGGAGGCAATTAAGCGATAACTTCCGCATGTGAATAACTATCCACTGAAAATTCCAATTGAATTTCTAGAATATTTGGGATCTAAGAGAAAGAATCACTGAAGGATTCGTACGTGATGGATATGTGTTTAAATACGACATTTCCCTGCCGATTGAACATTTCTACTCTTTAGTTCCCGTAATGAGGGAAAGACTAGCCGGCACCGAAGGCATTGTTAGAGTCTCCGGATACGGACATTTAGGCAAGTTAAAGATTCGTAAAATTGTCATTCCATTGCAAACAATTTTGCTAAGCACTGGCCTTTCAGGGGATGGAAATGTCCACTTTCAAGTATCCTGTAAACAGTTTTCCAATGAGATTCTGCATCAAATTGAACCGTTTGTGTATGAATATACATCAAAACTAAGGGGCAGCATCAGCGCAGAGCACGGGATCGGCTTCAGGAAGCCGAAATACATCCATTACTCGAAAAGCCCCGAAAGCATCGTCATTATGAAAGAATTGAAGAAAATGTTTGATCCTAATGGTATACTGAATCCTTATAAGGTGCTTCCAATGTAATTATAATATGATTTGCTGTATTATGGATCTAAACACCTTGTATATGCATTAAACTGACTATTTTTTGGAAAATTTTGACCATCAGTAGCAGAGAAAGAGCCGAAAAAAGTCACAAACATTTAATCCTTCGCATTGATTGATAAATTTTCTTGCAAAAAGTAAATTTCCTTGTCAGCCTCTTAATTGCATTGTGAATTTAAAACATTAAATTCTTCTGAGCTTCGCAAAACAACGGATATTTACGAAATATTATTGCAGGTGGAATCAAATGCGGTGTTGCCGAATAGTTATTTAGTTGCTGAATATGGGGATTCACCGACTGTTTCAATATGGTCATAAATTGACAGGTCACATATTGACGATTGACGTTTGCTAACCAGAAAAATGAAAAAAAATGTTATTCCTACTAATCCAATTACTTATAATATGTGACTAAAAACAATCAAGTACTAACAAAAGTGTACTTGACAAATGCCCGAAGTTTTCCGAACTGCATAACGGTGACAACTGTTTGACAGACATCGGGGACGTTATGGCGTCTTTTGTTAACTTATGAAGAAGTGGCAAATTTCAAATTGAAAAAATATTAATAATTAATTATTTTGAAAATTAATAATTTTCCCCAAAAAAACACCAATAACAGTTGTTGGCTAATTTTCAATCACCCTATATATTTACAAAGTTACTGTTTTATAATTCAGTGTTGCCACATTAAACATGCACAGTACTGGAACCCATGACGTTTTTCTCTCTCACTCTCTTTCTTACTTGTTTATCAAAGTATTGAAAATGACAAATTGCCTAAATATCTTAAAAATGTCTAATAATCCCATTATTTGAGTGGAGTGGAATCCACAGAAAGTTCCCAAGAAACCTGACAGTATTAACAGCTGATTCACCCGCCAATCAATCAATCAGCTGCTTTTGTTTACGTTCTGCAAGTTAATCCCATACAACACATGTTTTTGAGGTGTAGGTACCATAAAACCACAACAAAACACCAAACATCGACAATAACATTGAAAAATGTATTCAGGGCGTATTAAATATTCCATATTATTAATAGCAACTTACCTCACATCGTCTATCTGTGATTGTGGCTGCAGCTTAAACCGAGATGGTCAGTGCAATTCCGAGGACAACGAAATTAATCCCAGCCAAAAATACAAAAGGGACCTAAACGAAAATCCAGCAAATAATTTCGACAAGTCCCAGATGGCTTTGATTGGCAAAGGCATCTTCGAAATGGGAACGAACAAACCGGTTTTTCCTTCGGACTTTGAAGGCCCCGCTCGAAACGTTACAATTGAAAACAGCTTCTATTTGGACATTTACGAGGTTTCAAACCAACAGTTTTACGATTTTGTGCGGACCACCAACTACAAAACGGAGGCGGAACAGTTCGGTGATAGTTTCGTGTTCGAAATGTCTTTGCCCGAAAATCAAAGAAATGAGCACCAAGATATTCGGGCTGCTCAAGCCCCATGGTGGATTAAATTGCCAGATGCTTACTGGAAACATCCTGAAGGCCCCAAGTCAACTATTGAAGGTATTAATGAATGAACCATACTAGTGAGTATTGCATTGAATTAAGCCACTACGTTCCCAACTTGTAACATTTCTGTAAGTTTGCTACTATTGCTAATAAGTTCAATATTATTGTCTTATTTGACCATCTCAATCTTTTGGGGCGATAAGTTAGAATCTGTTCAGTTTCGAAAACCGTCAACTTCTGGACAAAAAGGCAAATTTTGCATGATTTTGCACAGACATTTTCCACTCCCTATATTTTAGATAGAATGAACCATCCAGTTGCTCATGTATCATGGAACGACGCAGTTGCATATTGCGAGTATGTGGGAAAGAGGTTGCCCACAGAAGCCGAGTGGGAGATGGCATGTAGAGGTGGGCTGAGGCAAAAAATGTACCCTTGGGGAAATAAGCTGCAACCGAAAGGACAGCATTGGTAAGCTGATGTACTTAGTTTAGGTTCCTTATTCTGGATTATGCAAACAATATTTCAAAGTTTCAAAGTATCATCTAAAGTTAGAGGAGAAAGCGGAATAGATACGTTAAGAAGAATATTCCCAACGCAGCATTCGAAATTGGAATTTAACTATTGGATAAAACTGAAATTGTAGGGCCAACATTTGGCAAGGAGAGTTTCCCAAAGAAAACACGGCCGAGGACGGGTACATTTTCACTTGCCCTGTCGATAAATTCCCTCCAAATCAATTCGGACTTTATAATATGGCCGGTAATGTTTGGGAGTGGGTCCAAGACGATTGGCAAACTGATCCGCAGGTAAATCAACAAATAGTATGTTTAGTTAAATTTCATTAATGAACATTTGTCTGTTGCTCTATAAAACGCGCAAAAATTGTTCTGTTTCTTACTTAACAATTTTCCCTATCATAAAAATAACCAACACCTGATGAAACTTGTTTTAGAACTCAAGAGTGAAGAAAGGAGGATCATTTTTGTGCCACCAATCTTATTGCTGGAGATACCGATGTGCGGCAAGATCATTTAATACCAAAGACAGCTCGGCAGCAAATTTAGGTTTTAGATGTGCTGCCGATGCAAGATAGCCATAGTAAACATCTGATAAATTCGAAATATCCGCGCGGCTTATTGTTTGTGGTTGTTTGATCCATATAAGATTTATTACATGTTTCTCAGGTAAAGGTTAAAATACATCTCTTAGGAAAATGTCAATGGGTTTTCAATCACAGCGGGATTGAATTAAACAAATATATTCTTCTACGGTAACAAATATAATCTCAGAAGCTGCAACAAAAAAACCAGAATCCGTTTCATGATTGAAAAAATATAAAAGCTATATCAAATAACACCAGCTCCCAAATAAACCTAATAGAACGAGGAATGTCACGCGTTAAACAAGTGGTCGCATTTTCACAAATGCACATAAACATACAATAAAAGTATAAATAAACAGCATAATAAAACAAAATGTGTAGATAAGAATGCGTAAAACTAATTATTTTTTCCGTCCTAATAAAATAGATAAAGCAAAGTTCGGCACTAGCAGTATTTCTTTAAATACATGAATACAAAAATATATTTATGATTTGTCAGTATACTGCTTTCCTGGAAAGAAAATGTAGCCTCACTTGGTACGGTAATAGTAAAACTTTTAGCATTTGGCAAATCTAGGTACTAAACAAAAGTTTGCAATTTGGGAGCAACTTTTTCAATAAACAAATGTAAGTGACTCTTAGCTACTTTAGGTACCGGCACGTACTTGTAAATAAGGTAGCCGCCTAATCCTATGAGCGATAACTTGAACGACAAAGCCACAATTTTCGATGATAAAGACCGGGGCGGGATTTTCATAATTTCTGCAATGAATTGCTTCTGTTCTACAGGCCATAATTTGATGATGCCGGGACTGTGTCCAATTCCAATAACTGCCACAATATTCAACGGCACATCTGGGTCGTGACCTGAAGGAAAAACCACGCTGCTGACTTATCAGCAGGCTACTAATTAATTAATAAATAATTACCTGCCCTGTCTGCGGGCTTCAACGCAGCAGCAATTTGAAGGGTATTTGTTAAATAAATATCTCTTTCATCTAGGAAAACTTCCCTGAATGCGGGATAATCTCCGGCTAGTTCTGCCAAGAGCTGCTCCAGCATATCGCGATTTTTGCATCTCTCGATTTCCTCCGTACTGAAATTAACCATAAACATCAAAGCGGAATCATCGAATGTAAAATGCTTACCTAATAGGATCATTGGTAGTCAATAAATGCCATGCCAGTTTTATAGTTTGAAACCATGTAAGCTTTGCCAACGCTCTTCTGATGGTAATTCCGATGGGCCTATCGCCCAGATGGACAGAACAAAACGGAATGTTTAGTGCCTGGAATAAAAGAAACACTCGTTTTATTCACTAGTGAATTAACACAAATTGCATTTACCTCTTGGTACGCCACTCGAAATTCACCTCCAGGAGCCATCCCAATTTCCTTCGTAATGTGCGCACTCATATTGAGCAAAAGAAGGTACATGGCCCCATTTAAAGCCCCATTCGATCTGATTGTTGATATAATTCTTGCCATGTCTATTGTCTTGGCCTCTTCTAGTACAGTTTTCTCATCTAGAGCTAACATGCTTGTTCTAGAGGGGCACAATTCCACTATAATGACCTGAGGCTGGACATGTCTTATGACCTTTAAAAAAATATTTTTGGATTATTATTCGCAATTATTAACTATCGTTGACTTGATGGAAAAAAGCATCAAATTGGATAAATTTTGATTATTTATGCGTAATTTAGTGCCAATCTTTCCCAGTTAGTGCGTGGTTTTGCAAAAACCAGCGCTTTAGATAAAGTTTCTACAGGGTGGCAAAGGAAACAGTACAAAACTGGTGAAGCTTCAATGCAAATGTTAAGGAATACTTACTTTCTTGACATCCTCTTGGGACTCCTTACTAAAATGGGCCGTCCCTACAAGATAGACATTCGCCCCAGTCTCAGGATGAGTCAAAAGAGTGACTGTATCTGGAAGTTCGAAACCATCTACCGATTTATTGCTGGAGCTCGGCTCTACATCGCCGTATCCCAGAATTTCTATCCCATCACTTTTATCAGATCCATTTTCGGAATTAGCCAGTAACGCGCTGTCGGTCAATTCTAAAAAAATAGGGACAATTAGTCGACCAACAGCACAAATGAACAAGTTTTAATACTCACCGAAATTTGAAAGGGAATTTTCCATTTTAGAGTTTATGGAACTGGACAACAAAAAAACAATGGAGATTGTTGTTTCAACAAACTTTTACATGGGAAAATTGACAACCTATTTAGAGCTGGATACAGCCACGGAAGTGCATAACAATCTTATAATAAAAAGAGAATATAGTAATATTTTTTTAAATAGTGTCACAATTTACAACATATTGTGGCAAGTATTTGAATAGGTTATAGTCTATGGTTATAGTTGTCAAATTGACTTTGAATATATAGTTGAGCGTCGCATCTTTACGAACATTCGGTATACATTGGTTAAGTATATCAAAAAAGACGATCCATTTTAAAGTTGTCTAGTTTTGCAAAAAATGCGTTTCTACACCTTTGTGCTACATTTTTAGTAAATTTTTATTGTAAAAAATACCGAATGGTTGGAAAGTCGATATATTTCATCCTGAATGTTGTAGTCCAAGTTAGTTTACATGTATAGAGTGATTCAAAATTGGCCTTATTTCCTGGGGGTGTTGTAAAATAATTTAAAAAATAAGATAAAAATAATTCTTATCAAAAACTGAAATATTTGCAAAAAAGCTACATCAGAAGGACGACAACAATTTTCTCAAGAAGATTTGTCTCAATAACATTACGAAAATACCATAGATTACCTAAGCAAGATGGGCTTCGCTTTGAAAAAAATTACTAAAATTATTATGGTCACTTACGTACGTTTTCTGAGATACAATCCACGGAGACCCACCCAGTGCAGATTTGGCGACTCAACTGTACTTGTCCACAAAATATCCCCCATACCCCCTATATATATATATATATAGGGGGTATGTTCTGTGTACTTGTCCTACACCTCAACATAAAGCCATTGAAGTAAGTCGCATACAAGAATAAATCAATTGAAAAATTATTCCGCGACACAACTGTGAGGCTCTATTTAAACGGCTGTTAAGCACAAAGCCTGGTAGATAAAAATAGACATAATAAAGGCTTTTTTTATGAAAAAATGCTCGCTTTTTAACAAACATCTGACAACACAGCACCTTCAAAAGCACCGTACGTGACATTGAAGGTTTTTTTAAACCGATCAGCTGATTTTAGCGAACAGAGATTTGGGATTTTTATCTTCCAAACGGAACTAAAATAGACTCCGAATGATATATTGAAGTGTTTGAAAAGGGGAACAAGAGGGCAGCAAAATGGTGAAAGGACTGGTAAGGACAAAATAATGATAGTTTAAGTCCATTCAATCAATATGTATTGCTTGTTGTAGCTGGCCTTTTTAGTTGGAGTATACTCAGGCATTTATGTGAGCCAAATCTACAATGTAAGTCATGACAAACTAAATCAGAAGACCTTTTGATAGCGAAAATGATTCAACATTTCAGGTGCCCAGAGTTGATGACCCCCGGGCCATATTTGAAAGAGTCAAGGAATTTGCAGACAAGCACAAAAAAGACTAGTTTTAGTTAGAACACAGTTACTTCATTTACATTTGGAATAGTAGCCGAAATATAATATAAATTAAATGCCATACTACTGTAATAAAGGTCCTCCTGATAAATACTCCAGCCTTAAAGGAGGTTCTACGAACGCTAGCCAATCACTAGCATGTGTGGGAAGCAGCCCCATACTATGGCACTTGTACAGGGCCAAACCCATATTAACCAAGTTCCCAAACACAAAAACGATCATCTGTAATATTGCGTTCGATGTTTCCATCATTTTAAACGTGCTCTTGGTGGACCAAATGGCTTGAACCGGGCGCATCAACAACATTCCCACCATCATAATGGGAAATATTGATATCGAATTCCCGGCCATGTAAGATATAAATAGGTTCATCGGAACCTGCTTTATGGGGCCCAGGGCCAGATCCCACGATTTCTTGGTAATTAATCGAGAAATGTCGGTTTTTTTCGAGACTTCTCCGCTGACACTTACAGCAGAGGACATGTAAGCTGGGGGTGAAGGAAGGGGCTCTGAGGGCCCTCTAGTTCTATAACAATTAACCCTGTGGTTTACAGAAAGGGGCACAACTAATTTCACTTACCTTACGTTGTCAAGGCTCCATTTTTGCCTGCGATTTACTGTTCTGGTCGACATTATTTACGATCAATGTTTACTATTTCGAAGCAATGACAAATGTCAATCAAAGTAACTTAATTGACTTGGATAATTCAGGGCAGCCCCTTGAATAAAAATTCGGCTACTTCAATAAAGGAATTATACGGTTATTCGTTTGTTAGCTTTGGGCGATTTTTGTAAATAGGCACTAGAGTTAAAAGCGGTTTAAACTTTGCGCGATTATTCGGATTATTTGATCTATTTGTTGAATTTTTTAAAAACGTTTTTGTTGGTAGTTCTGGAGAGAATTCTGAGGTTAACTTTATCATGAAGTTTCATGTGAAAACAGATCAGGCAATTTGGAAATACGGTACTAATGTGGATGGATATTATATACTTCTAGTTATTCATTATAATCATTATATTTATAAGGTTTCTTCAATATAGAGGCGGCATCAAGCACCATGTCAGACGAAGAACAGGTACAAACGCTGTGTATTTCCTCTAGCAACCCATTTTTGCAAATCTTCATTATTTCAGATTGTTGAAGCAATAAATAATATTCTCATAAGTGGGCAAGTTACTGAGAAAGTCTGCCACTTGGCCAAGCTGAAAGAGTTACTGCTGTACAAAGTCCCAAATTTGTTGCCCAAATATTTACCAAATGTGCTGGGATTTGTAACTGACAAGCACCAAGATGTTAAAAGAAACTTGGTGGGTTTTATAGAAGAAATATGGTAAGTTACTTGAGAGGTCAAAGGACGAGATCTTGTGATAAAACCAAGTTGGGCTTAAAGGGGTTTTGCTGTACATTTCCTCTATAATTTCCCATATCTCGTCCATGTTTTAAATGAACCTGTCTATCTGGCCGAAGGCCTGCAATTGTTCTTAAATCGCAGTCTAAAATCTGTTAGAAGCAGTTGATGATCACTACCACAGGCAGCTCCTGGATACTTACAAGACTAATAATTTTTAGCAAAGTGCGAGACAAACTGATTCCCAAAATAATGGTAACCCTCCACATGTTACTATGCGATGAATCGGTTCAAGTTCAAAAGCGGGTGATTCAAGCCGCGATCACAATCTATCGACGCGCCTTGTCGTGGTTGTGCAAAGCATCAACTATTACCGATGAAATGGAAGAAGGTTGGAAGCAATTGCATACTATTAAGCTTGAAATTGCAAACATGATCGACAGTGACAATGATGGCATCAGAACAAGTTCCGTGAAATTTCTGGAATGTGTCGTTCTGCTACAAACCTACCCGGATGAGGCTGAGAACAAGAAACTGAACGATTTTTCGCTTGATAACGTGCCATTGACATTGAAGATAGCGCGCCGACGAAAGTTAGAAGAAGAAGCCAGGTGAGAACGGGAAGCAACCACTGTAGCCTTCAGTTAGTAACTAGTTGAGTTGATTTCAGCAACCTTTTCGAACTGTTGGTGAAATTTCATGGTTCTCCGCACATTAGCAGCGCGAATTTGCTTGCTTGCATCGGTGTGCTCACTAACATTGCCAAAAACAGGGCTGATTTCATGGTCAGAGTCGTAGATGCGCTCGAACAGCTTTATAATAACTTACCGCCCACCTTAACTACAACTCAAGTAAGCTCGGTGAAGAAAAAACTGAAAACCGAGTTGTCTGGTTTGGTCAAACATCCCGGGGCTTATGAACAGCTTTCTAGAATAACTCCACTTCTGTTGGAATTGGGTAAGTTGAGCAGAAATCAAGCATTCATGGCAATAAAACGCGAACTTCCAGGATGTTCTCAAAGCGAAATCAGCAAAATGGTGCCCAAATCCGAGGATCGCCGAAAATATCAAAAGCGCGCTCTCCCAGATCCCACTGAGAGGGCCGCAAAACGAGCGCGCACTGAACCCATAAACGAAATCACTATAGACGAAGATGAGCCCGAAACGAGCATCGGTGCACCTCAGACGCCCTTGGAGGCCAACGAGAAGTTTATAAATGACAACTTAACTATTGATAAAGCGATTTACCTGATTTTCACCAACATTCCCAAATTACCTTTGAACATGCCGGCGAGTTTTCATAAAGACTACGCGAAATTTGTGTTGAGTGGCCGCATTGGAAAGAACCACTTAGCTGAAGCGTTAGCAGCGCAATTCGTCGAAGCTAAAGTTGGACCAGGCGTTAACATTAAGCCTGAGGAAAAACCGGAATCGGCTAAAAGAAAAAGGGACATCGACGATGTGAACACAGAAGAGGAAACGGTAGGATTTTCATTTACTTCCTGCCAAATATTAGTTAATGTGCCAATGTCTTCAGGTTTTTAAAAAGGAAAAACTGAAAGTAGCGAAAACCAAGTCGCTGAAATTATCAGAAATCACTAAACCGCTAGATCGAGATGTAAAGGAGAATTTGTTGGTGCTTGCAGTGAAGAGGCTTATACGCTGCGATAAATTCAAAAATAAGGCTTTGCAGCAGAAACTAATCACGACATTTGCCTCAAATTTTCACTCAGGAGTTCGTGAGGCCATATTAACCCATATATTAACAGACCTTCGATCAAATGTTGATACAGCATTAGCGTGGCTGTTTGAAGAATACAGTATTACGCAAGTAAGAGACTCAAACATGTTTTAAGTCGAACTATATTTTCCATTATTTTCAGGGCTTCACCAGGATTCCACCGCTAAGAAAAAGCATGCGGCCGGAAGAATGTTACAATTTGCTTTTGTGCAGTTTTATTCAATCTTCAGCCCATGATGCAATTATCCTCTCCAGATTATTGCTGGAATCACCGTTGATTACTGATGAGGCGCTAACAGAAATAAAAGCCATTTGTAGGGATGAAAAGCGATCCGGTATGTCTGCCCACATCTGGATTCAACTATTTATTAACACGGTTTATTAAACTTAGCTTGGGCCCTTGGATTGTTGAGAGATCTCACTCTGAGGAAACCACCCAAACAGTTAACTTTCCTCAACGTTCTACTCTCTTACACCACATATGAAACCAGTGCGGTAAGGGATGCTGCTATTGGACATGTTCTGGATCTGCATAAGCATTTCGAACTGAAACTTATCATTGAAGAATTTGCCAAGATGAACATGGAGTTTCTCAAAGTAAGACTTTATTGACTCCTAGGGAAGGAGGTGATTATGTGTGGTGATTTTTAGCTTTCCAAGCCGCCGGAGAGCTTGTGTGGAGAGAATCAAGGCCGGGTTAAGAGTGAGTGTTGGAGTGATGATTACATCAAGGCCTGTCTTTTGCCCTACATTTCCTTATTGCCTGTCAACACAACTTTAATTCATGACTTGGCCAAGGTAAAGTGCTGCCTTATGCATTGAGAAGGGCAAATATCACGCCGGATGATTTTTTAGGTTTACATTGAAACTTCTGCAGATATTAAGCGCATTATTCTTCGACTAGTTGAGCCCCCTGTAAGAGCTATAGGCATGGACTGCCCAGATTTAATGAAGCTGATCGAAGACTGTGTTAAGGGATCTGAGACTTTGGTTACTAGAGTTATCCACATTCTGACCGACAAAGGTTCACCAAGTACAGAATTAGTTGAAAAAGTTAAGGAACTTTATAACACCAAAGTGTTTGATGTGCGGTTCCTAATCCCTGTCTTAACCGGCCTATCGAAGCAAGAGGTATTGAAACTTACCTTCAAAGGAACTGGATTTGAATGAAATTCTGTGTTTTTATAGATTATTTCGGCCTTGCCTAAGCTTATTAAATTGAATCCGGTGGTTGTGCGAGAAGTCTTCAATAGGCTTTTAGGGCTGCATGGAGAAAGCCCGATTACTCCTACAGAGCTTCTAGTTGCACTACACTTAATTGATACTAGTCAAGTTGATTTAAAAACAGTTATCAAAACTGTCAGCTTGTGTATGCAGGAGAAGCAGGTTGGTATTTGTTGCCAGCGCTTTATTTTTTGCAAATGCACAGTTTTATTTATCTAATTGAAATTGTTAATGAATCTGGTTGGTTTAGGTGTACACTCAGGAAGTGCTCGCGGTTGTGTTACAGCAGCTGATGGATCAAACTCCTCTACCAACTTTACTCATGCGAACTGTTATACAGGCTTTAGGAAGTTATCCAAGATTATCGGGTTTTGTCATGAATATTCTGCAAAGGCTTATTTTGAAACAGGTTAGCTAAGAACAGTGGGTGTTTAAAAATTATTTTGCGCCTTTGATGGATTACCATGTGTTGGTTTCAAATGTAGGAAAGAGGACAATTTAATGATTTGCTAAATATCGGGTTTTTGTAGGTTTGGAAGCACAAAGTGGTTTGGGAAGGTTTCATAAAATGTTGCCAAAGAACGAAGCCGCAGAGTTTCGCTGTTCTGATGCAATTACCGGCGCCACAGTTGCTGGAAGTATTCACAATGTGCCCGGACCTTAAGCAGCCATTGCGGGATCATCTCAACACTTTTACCGAGGCTCAGCGAGTTCATGTGCCTGTTGCAGTACAAGACATTATAACCGGAAGAATGGCTTTGCCTCCGCCTTCCACTGTTCATCCTCCACCGGTTCTAATGTCCCGGGTAGAACCAAAACTGATGGTAATTGCTGATTTTTATTCTCCTGCCAATTATTTACATTGCATTTTGAACAATCATCTAGATCCCAGACGAGAGTATTCTACCACCAGCGGGCCACATGTCGAATTTAGCCGCAGTGCGTCCTCTGGAGCCGTTGCCGCCTGGAATGGACTAAGATTGCAAGTAAATGTTAATTTTTTTCTTATTAAAGAAATGTAATATTACCCATATATTTGAATAAATGAAATTTTTCATGAACAAACTACAGCTAGCTCAACTAATTGAAGGATAAATCGACCTTTGATACAACCACAGGGTTAAATCTGGTCGTAAGACTTCTAGTGCTGGACGGCGAGCTGATACTCGATGCCGTTGAGAAACTATCCGAACTTAAACTGTTTTGCGATTTTAAGTCGATGTTGTGTTCGGCTGAATATTTGCTAATGTTTGGAGCCACATCCGCATACTCCTTCATCATGGAACACAGTCGTTTCACAACAGTATTATTTGCATCTTTCAGTTGTCTCACTTCCAGATCTTGCTAAAATACATTGTTGCTAGATGTTTAAACAATGTGAATATACAGCGCGTACTGCGACATTCTTTGGCTCAAAGAGCTCAAGGCTTTTAAGAATTTTGACCATCAATAGCAGAATAGCCAGACTTTTTTCTAAGTAAAAGTTAGCTGAGATCGTCTTCTTTTGAGCCAAAGAATGCATCCGCAGTGTTGATCATGTGCTTAGGTGCGCATTGCTTTAGGCAAATGTAAAACTTACGTCGTAAATAGAAATATCTTTTGAGCGTAGGTTCTTCAACGCTTTTCTTATCTGCGTCTCAGTTCTTTTCAGTTTTTCCTCTTTGGTTCTTTCCTGTTTCTCGATGACAATATTCTCCTCCTCTAGTTTATCGACTAGTTCTTTGTTCTCCATCCGCACTGGCATCAAAACCTCATTCAGTTCTTTGGTTAAATCTGAAATAATCAGAAAATTGCAGTAAATTGCAAGCGTGAGCCATTGAGATTGGGATGTTACCATCAAAAATTGCCTGATGTTTTGCTAATTCTTGCTTAGCTTCTCTGCATTTCTGTGTCCAGTCTTTGTATTTGTTTTCCAAAACTTTCATTTCTTGAATAGTGACATCTAAAAAAACCAATTAGCGCAAGCTAACAGCTATATGTTCCATATACCATCATCTTTAAGTGGTGATAAATTGTTCTTAAACGCCACATTTGTCAAGTTGATCATTTTCAGTGTGTTTTCAATGGCCACAATTTCCTTTTCGGCCACCTTAATTTTCTTATCCAATTCGTCTCCTTGCTGCTGCAAGAAGAACTTCTCCTGGGCGCTTTTTATTTTAAAATGAGTTACCGATAACGGTTGCCCATCTTCATCTTTGCCTGCATTAATTGCGCGATTATTGTCTCGGTTTGGCGAAAATAGTGGTTGCTTACCCAGGGACATCAGTTCTATATGGTACTTTTTTTGGAACTGCTCAAGCTTGATTTTTCGTATGGAGATGTCGCCTTTAAGTCTGCCTTTCTCCTCTTCGAGGTTGCGTTTTTTCGTTAAAACTATTGATCTTTTTGTGTCAATCTCCAGGTTCCGTTCCTTCATTACCTGTTCAAATAGACCAATTTGCAGGAAAGTGAATCTACTGCACTCGGAAATACCTGGTCAAGTGTTAGTCTCAGCTTCTGCAGACTGAATATGCGCTTTTCCTCCTTATGCATATCGGTCTCAATGTGGTTGATTCTTAAGCGCATGATGTTTTCCTCGACCTGCTTCTCTTGTGTGGATTTTTTTGCTGCAGCAATTTGCTTCCTGCCTGTAACGTTGCGTGTCTTGAATTGCCCAAAGACCGAAATACTTTTATAAAATACTAAATAAAATTTTATAAAATACGCATACTCTACCTATATCATACACTAACAAGTGGTTTTCGACTTGGTTTTGCAGGTTTTCCAAGTGCTCTCTATCGGCAGCAATAAAATTCGACAATTTTCGCATTTCGTCCTGCAGGCGATCCACTTGACTTTGAAGCGTGTGCTGAACCTCTGCATGATCATACAAAGTGGTTTCCAACTCCCTGATTTTCTCATCCTTTTCATCCGCATGATCATCCGGTTTGTTTGAGCCTTCCAGCTTGCACAGCCGTTGTTCGAATTCGTCGATTCTAAACTCCTGATTGTTGAGGTTGAGGAAAAAGTGAGTTCAGTTCACACTCAAATGTATCTGATTGATGTGCGTTACCATGTCATACACAACTTCTTTTAACTTCTCCAGGCTTTTTTCCTCATCCCGGATATGCTTGCGAAGCTTATTGCATATGCAGTAGCTGTTGTTGATCTGAATCTCCAACGATTTGCCGACTTGTTGCTGATCTTTGAGCAGCTGATCCGTTCTGTAAAGATTGCTGTTGATTTTCTCGGTATCGGCCATCAGGACGGAGCAACGCTTCTCTTCGCTTTCCATGAGTTTTCTTATTCGTCTTATTCGCTCTGTTGAGGACAAGTTGCTGCCCTTCATTTCTGCGATTTTACTTTCTATGCTTTCCATCTCTGCTTGGTCTTTGATGCATTTTCTTCAAGATCATTATTTATTAGCTAATAACCGCTTTTGACTGGTTTTTACCTTTCTTTTTGGTCCATCTCTACATCCATTTGTCGTTTCTGTATTCTCAGCTTTTCCAGATTGTTTGCTGATGCTGTTACACGGCGTTTGAGCGTGTGGCACTAAAATCATTATAAGATGTTGAGCAACCTTTTGGCCTCTATGTGGAAAATCAAATATTGATCGACTAAAAAATGTTTCTTTCCTTCTTGCGAAATCGTTTGTTCCTTTAGTATTTTCTAAAAGTGTACATTTTTCATTTGGTTCTTTCTTCCCAGAGATCAAAAGTGTCTCCATATAATCATTTGTGTTATTTTGTTATAATCACCTCATTAACAATAGCATACATCGTCTGTTGCAGGTCTCCAAGCTCTCTTCGCATTCGCGAATTGGCTGCGTTTAGTTGCTCCAATTCCAGCTCAATGACATGATTATTCTTCTGCTCATTTTTCAGCATCGAATTTTCTTCCTCCAAATGCTCCTGCTGCTGTTCCAGGACCGTTTCTGCTTCCAGAATGCGTTCCTGTCGGGCGTCGATGTCTGCGTCGCGTTGCTGTAGCATTTTAACAGTGTCTTTCCATTGCTTGATTAAGTTTTCCCGTTCGTTTATTTGCTGTTTAATTGCTTTTCCTATAAACCAAGGGCCGGATGTAATGAAAAAGCTGGCCATTTTCCGAAGCTCTTACCAGTTCTTTCTATGATCATTTCACAGCTGTGCAAGTCGCACACCATTTTACTGATTGTGAAGTTTTTGGCATCGTATTCGCTTTGCAGAAATTGCCGCCTTGCTTCCAGTTCATTGAATCGTCTTTCGTCTTCCTTGGAAAATTTCTTGATCAACTCGTTGTCGTCGTCCCGCTTTTTCAGAGCTTCTTCCCATGCCTTTAGCGCCTCGATGTCCCAGCCGGTTTCTCGCTTTATTCTGTCCACCTGAGTGTGCAAGAGTTTTGCATTGGATGAACCTTGCAGTGGACGAGAATGTTACCTTTATCACGGCTTTTTCAAGATTTTTCTTTTGCTTCCCTTTGTCTTCTGCTAGCAGTTTTATCCGTTTGTCCACTTCTGCAACATCATGCTCCAGTTTGTTTTTCTCGCCTTTGAGCGCATGGTATTGGTTGGCTTCGCTATCGTACTGTTGCTTATGGGCAGTTATGATTTTCTAAAGTTGCAGCATTTTAATCACCGGGTTCATTTTCAGACTACTGACTAACCTGCGTTTGCTCGTTTTCTTGGGTCACGAACTTAAAATGCTCTTTCAAGTTGGTCAAGCGGCTCTGCGAATTGTCCAAGATGGATTTGGCTTTGACTTTATGCAAAGTCAGCTTCGCCAGCTCCTGCTCAAGAGCTTGATTTTCTGAGTTTGCTACCGGCATCTGGAAGCCGTCGTCCCAGCCGAGTTTTCGCAATATTTCCTCCAAATATGCCATTTTTTCAACCAGTAAAACAACCCCAACAGCAGACAAATTATATATAAAGAGCGTGGGTACTTGTATGTTGTCAGCAAACAGTCACTTTGTCTTTAGCTGGTGGAAGGACATTGTTTGATCAATACTTCTGACTGCCTTCGTATAATCAATCGTAATTGATGACTAATTTATCTAGTATTGGTTTACAGGGTGTTTCTTAATATCATGTACCTACATACAAAAGAAAATTTAAATTAAGCGTACTGGAACCATATTCATGATATCACTCGTAAACTGTTGCTTCCTTCTTCGATTGCCTACATGGACAATTTCTCAAACGGTTTATCAGGAATGAGCCACAAAAGTATCCAATGTTCAAAAATTGACCATCCTGGATTTTCCTCCATTCTCATTCAAATGGGGCCAAATTCACATTTTGGTCTCGCATCTTGTTCTTGAGAAATGTGCGTTAGAAATGTTTATTTCTCAAGAACAAATCACTTTTGGCGTCCAGCATTACTTAATACTGTTCGCATTGTAGCATGTTTTTGTGACTGCTCTTGTGTATGTTGTTCATGAACGCCTGCTACAACTTGTATGTGAATAGGACTAAAAAATCAATTAATTTTGGTGATTGGAAGACGTTCTATCTGTTTAAAAAAGACGGTAAAACGAGGAAGAGCTATAGAGACAGGATACACTTGACACACTATATGTATACATAATGTAAGCCATAGCGCGTATGTTCAAAAACAAATTCTAACTGAACTAATCCAAGGCTAAAAAAATTAAACTAAATTGAGAAGATTTAATCCTAAAGGAATCAAAGAGTATGTGAAG